TCAGATATTTAATGCCTAGATTTTAAATTCTCTCTAACATTTGTCAGCACTTTACAGCCTTTTGTAACATGTTTATGGTGTTATTAAAAAAAAGAGAGGGAGACACCTGAGGTTATGGGCTACTGTACAAGAGTATAAAACTGACCTTAAAATTATGAACTTGCTGTGCAGACCCGCCTGCCCGACAGCCTGCTGTGCTGCTCGGGCTGGGGAGACCAAGTCTGACTGCTGGGATTGACGGGATGGGGGGATGGCAATCCCAGAATCAATTTGTTGTTCTAAGTGACTGCGAACAATAAGAGCAGTGAGGACTAGGGGGGAAAAGCTCCCTTGGACTTGGAGGTTGGAGTGCTGCAGTCCTGGGCTGGGGCTCTGTGTGTGTCTGCAGGGTGTCCGGGGCTTGGGGACCAGGGCTGAGGACAGTGGGGGACGGGATGGGGGCTTGCTGTGCTGGGTGGGCAGTGTGTCCTGGAAATGCTGCGCAGTGGGAGGACAGGCACTTTGACACAGTGCTTGCTGCTGCGGTGACACCCAAGCTGCTCTGACCTTCTTTTATTTCAGAGAGATTTGGACATCTGTCAGGGAGATTTTTGTACCCGGCAGGAGCCTTTGGCCCTGCGGGGCCGGCGCAGCCCTCGGTGGCTCCGAGCAAAGGGCAGCAAAAGTGCAAATAGCTGGGGGGGCATCGTGGGCCTGGGGAGGTGTTGATGCTGATCAGCCAGGTGAAATCTGGGCAGAGGTGGGTGAGTGGCAGTTCAGCCCCCCCATCCCAGTGGAGCCCTGTGCCCCTTGGGAAGACCACCCAAAAGAGGAGGTTGCTCATGGTGCTCTATGGAGAAGACAAAGGCTTGGCTTCATTGACCCTGGGGTGGGATAGGGCAGTGGAGCTGGGATGCAGTGACCCTGTGCCTGGTGCTGGGTTTGGCTCAGGGCCCCTGAGTCACCTTGGGGGGGGTGTCACTTAACCTTCATCTTGCCTCAGTTTCCCCTCCTTCCCTTGCGTGGGCACCATGAGTACAACCACCACGTTAGAGACGGTGTGAAGGCTGTGCTGGCCATGGAGAGGACTTCTTAGGGACCTCAGCCGAGGTAGGGGGCCCATATTGAGGTGCTGGGTGCCAAATAGCCGCCCCCCCAAAGATCCTCAGTGCTTCGCTGAAAAGGTGAAATCTGCCCCAAAGTAGCTGTCAGTCAAGGGGACACAGGTCCTCACATGTGCAGTGACCTGTCCCAGCCATGAATCACCAAATTTATGGTCCTGACACCTGAGAAGCAGAACAGGCACAGCAGAAACTAAGTGAATGAGACAAGCGTGCGTGCAATTAGGACAGACCTTTTGAACACTGCAACAAGAGCTGGGACAGGGAGCTGCTGTCTAATCAAAGCAATAGCAGTTTCTTTTTTTTTAAGACAAGGGAGACTTGGGATACTTTGTCCACATAATGTTCCAATTTTAGCTCTGCATCCCAGGATGTAATTGCATTAAAAATACCCGGGGAGGGGGAGGATGCCAAGGGCACCCAGGGACCTGCCTCCACTGGCGTGTCCCCACCGGCGCTCCACATGTCCCGCTGCGTCCCTGAGGCCCCATTTCACATTCCCGATGCTGATGCCTCCCAGATCTGCTTTCCGGCTGCTCCGCTAATGGTTATTCTGGTAAAGGCCCTCTCCGCAGGGTCCCGTGGGGCTCCCTGCCCATCCAAGTGCGATCAGGCATCGATCACTGCGAGTTTGGGGGAATGACCACAAATGACGTGGTTTGGTTGGACGGGGCAGCTCTGCTGCTGAGATCTTTGCTCTCAGTGTGGGGCAGCTCCCTCCTGCTGCTGTGCCAGCCCTGAATGTGCCAAGTCCAGGAGGTTTCATGTGAAAGTCAGCTGTTTTTTTTGTAAATAAAATTTAGGGGTTTTTTTGAGCCTTTCAGGGCTGGGTCATGCTTTTTTTTTTTTCACTTGTGTCAAGCACAAGGGCTGTATGCTTTCTTTTGTTGTAATTGAAAGGTGAAGCTGGAGCTTCAGGAAAAATCCTGAGGTCTCTAGAGAGAGTCCAGGGTTAATAGGTACTGGAGGGCTGCGTGTGAACTTCAGGCTCCTAAATTCTTCTGCCAAAAAGTAGATTTACTTATTTTTAATGTAAAGCTCCTTTTAGTTATGCTGCTTAGTATTTTAACTGGTGAAGCAGGAGTTTAAGGATCTTATTGCTAATGTTTTTGGCTAGTCATGGAGTAATTTAGGCTGGAAGGGACTGTTGGTGGTTGGTCTAACCTTCTGCCTGATGCACAGCGGCTTCAACCTGCACATTGCTCAGGTCCTGATCCATCCCCACATACAGACACCCTCCCTGAGCAAAAATGTTGGTAATTCCTTCAGGAGATGGTGGCAAGCACTACAGTGGGCACGGGGTGATGGCATCCCCTGGGGTGACACGAGGCTGGCTCTGCTTCCATGCTGAGCAGGGTTGGGGGGCAGCCTGGGTCGCCCTCCATCCCTGCAGGTCCTGGCTTTCGCCTCCAGCTCAATTAACAGCTCATGGAAAAACCTCCCGTTACTTTTTGCTAAATATAACTATTGAGGGAGATGCTCGTTGTCACCTCCAGGGAGCTGGAAAGAGCAAGATGGGTCTGGCGCCTTGAAAATGCCAAAACCCGCTGAGGACCGGGGAGTTCGCCGCACGGGTGGGT